GTCTTCATCATAGATAAGGTACAAAGAAAAAATGCATTAGGAAGATCACTTATGAAAATTATGAACAAAATCTTCGTCCGCATACCAATTCGTCCACTACAGAATATATGAGAAAGAAGAAAAATATAATGGCAGATGTTTAATCATTTCGAGCAACATCAAATGCAATGGTACAAAAACGTTGATAAATAACGATTGAATGCTGAGTAGCGAAAGCAATCTTATTTTGATAAAGTAACATCTATTACAGAGATAAGGTGAAATATTCCAATATCATACATCGTTTATTACAAAACTTCTCGCGTGTGAAAACAATGCATTCTTACAAAGCTCTGATATTAACAATATCAAACTAATCTGATGATATTTAAATAAACATCAGGCGTATAATAATAACAAAAGAATTAGCAAGGGATTTTGGATTATTTAATTTATATATCAAAACAATCCGGAAAGAAAGAAAAGAAAAACTGTTGTCTTACTCAAAAAAACAAAGTCGAGTTGAACTGTAATTCGTGTCAATGTGGATTCATATTAAATAATGATTACAACATTTAGCTTCCATAAATATATGAAAATTCTGTGTAATCTGCTTTCTAAATAAAAGAGATAATCTTGGTTTCTCTGGTGATTTAATCTCCCGTGGCTTATTGTAAAGTTTTACGATACGTTTACGTCTGTATTCATCGTTGTAGTTTGGTCATTGTGAAAGCGAACATTTGCATTACAGCCATGAATGACAAAAGATTCTATTTTTGAAAGGACAGTATCCCATATTTAAATAATAATGATGATAGCAGGCGATACTCTCAACTGAAATATATATAATCATTCTCTAAATCAAATTTTAAGAAATATAGGTTTCTATTCTGTAATAACCATTAATAAATTTCAAGTGTTGATGGGAGATTCCTTACTAGCCACTGGTTTGAAGGAATGCAATTTACTTTAATTTTGAATTTTGTAGGAATATTTTGTGAAGTTATTAAAACTAAGGAAATCGTGAAGTAGCTCCTTCCTCTGCACGCCAGTGTATAATTATCACATAAGGTTTAATTTTTGATTTGATTTATATTGTTTTTGTTCAAAAATTAAAATAAAAATAAATACAATTTTCACCGTTAATCTTTACGTACAACTCTTTTTAAGCTAATTCCATACAACCTAGATAAGCGTAAAGTAATTTCACATCGCATTCCAGCGATTACTTTAAATAAATAAGCAGAGAAAGAAACAAAACCATGTGTGTTACATTAATAAAACTTGTTCTAAGATAAAAACTTTAAGAAGAATAAGTCTAGAGTATTGATATAAAATACATTAATGATAGAAAAGAGTAAAAATTACTTGATTCCGTCAGGGAATATTTTGTTAATGCGAGTGAACTAAAAAGGGAAGTCTAGTTTAGTGTCTACGATAACGATGAATATGAAAATAAACTCTAATGCCTCATTATCCGTATATATTCTCTAAAACTCTAATGCTATATCACATATATATATATATATAATATATATATAAGTTATTTCGGAATTGAGTACGCGGGAAGGCATATTGTTTTAAATGCCTAAAAAGTTTAGAGTCATCATTTTATTTATATATATATATATATATATATATATATATATATATATATATATATATATATATATATATATATATAAAAAGTTTTATAAAACTTAAGTTGAATTCGTGATAAGCACTCAGGTCTCAATCTGAACAGTTTTTTTTTCTCTTAATTAAAAAAGGAAATTAAATCGTTTTCCGCTTCTTGTGGTACGTTATTCAATGTTATCACACAGGTAGTCACATATACAAGTATTTAGTATTTCAGTTGCTATGAAAATAAAATGGATTTAGATATTTATATAAAATTTGAGCGCTGTTGTGCCACAACTTTGTAGACATTTTAGAACTTTAGTGGGTCGGCACTGAAAATCAAAATGCTAAATTATCTTCTTATATTTAACTACTAAAGATTGAACATTTGGATGTATGTATGTGAGTTGGTTAGCTCTATCTCTGGTATGGAGCGCTTTCTATAAGTAGCGCTCATATAATATATAATTAATATATATAATACATTGCATATATATATATATATATATATATATATATATATATATATATATATATATATATATATGTGTGTGTGTGTGTGTGTGTGTGTGTGTGTGTGTATATATATTTATATACATGCACTTTTATATATATATATATATATATATATATATATATATATATATATATATATATATATATAGTAATAAAAAATTAATCGAATTTCTAGGAGTTGCAGTGGAGCGTTTAAGAAAACATAAGTCTCTTTGTGACGTTCAAGTATTGTGTGTAAAAGCAGCCCGATAAATAAGTGATGAGTGGTCTGTGAGGTCCGAATGTTTACTAACCCACTAACCAAGTTCAGCAATCATTACATGCTGGACGTGCAATGAAGAGAACTGGTATAAAATAAAAGCAAGAAAGATGGAATATTCGAATCGTCAATTATTTACGTGTATCCGTTATGCCATCCTGAAAACTACATATAATAACATGGTAAATTAGCAATATATATATATATATATATATATATATATATATATATATATATATATACACACACACACACACATATATATATATATATATATATATATATATATATATATATGAAAGTGAAAATTTAAGATATTTTCCCAGAGCCAACAGACGATTGCGTCTAGCATAAAACGGTCTGTCGCCTCTGAGTATTGATGCTCAGATATTACTGATAATTAGTACTTTATACCATTAATATAGCACGTCTTAAATCTCTCTCTGTCTTTTATATATATATATATATATATATATATATATATATATATATATAAGAGAGAGAGAGAGAGAGAGAGAGATAATCAAACCCCCCACCATAAACGATTGATAGCTACAATTTATTCGATATATGAGTTTTCTAAATACGTTAACTCCTAACACTTGTAAGATCTAAAAGTAAATGATTGAATTTTTCAGTAACCCCAAGATCTGAAAATATTAAATTTGTCTGTAGTTATAAATTAAGTAAAATTTATTATAATTTTAAATTACATCTATAAAATTGACTTTTATATATATATACATGTGTGTGTGTGTATTTATATATATATATATATATATATATATATATATATATATATATATATATATATATATATATATATATATATATATATATATGCATATATATATATACACACATTCACACACATATATATATGTATATGTGTGTTTGTGTTCGTGTTTGTGTGTGTGTTTGAATGTGTATATATATATATATATATATATATATATATATATATATATATATATATATATATATATATAACCTTTATTAGAATAATATCTGATCGGTAATTCGCCAGAAAATTTTAGTCTACTTTTGCTTCAACCCAGCATTTATATTTAATTGAAAAATTAATTTTAGAATTGAATACCTATAATATACTGATCAGTGAGATAATCTATGAATACGTATTATACGAAGAATGCGCCTAGACAGAATTATAGAATGCTGAAATGTTGATTCGTACGTAAATAATCGATGTAAATATTAAAATCCAGTAAAAAACTTAAAAGTTGTTAGAACCTATATATATAATATCATAATATCACAACTCGAAAATCAGCTACTCCTAGCTTCATGTATCAACAATCTTCAGCCGAAATTTTTTCCACCTGATGATACATGAAACTTTCTGTAGCGAATTTCTCTACTGATATATAGAGAAACGACATCTTCGAAGGGTGAATTATATACTACAAATAATAGCTACTGTCACCAGAGTAAAATCATTTACGTTGAATTCAGCATTGTTCAAAATACGCCGCCGCTGTCTTATGCGACAGTTTTTGAAATATCAACCAGAAAAACAAGGAGGAACAAGTACAAAATCGTTTGCATTGGCTTCAAATTACTTTGGATAAAAAAGAAATCCCAAAGGGAATAAAATATAAACAGAAGAAAAGGAGGAAATGATTGACTCGGCTTTATTGCTCTAGTGAATATAGTATCTATCGAAAAACTTGATCAAAAAACTTCTTTTATAGAAATTTAACGAAAAACTTTGGTTATAAAACTTTGGTCACAATTGATATTATCTCTTTAAAGAAAACAGATTATAAATTGTATCTCTACTCCATACGAACTTTACATTAGAAAGGAAAAGAGTCGACGTTCAAGCAAAGTTAGATTTGACGAAGTACATTAATTTCAATGTGGAACAAAAGATTTTGATCATGAAAGATGGTAATGAGATAGACAAAGTTCCCGCAGATGCAATTGACTAAATTCAAAATTTGCAGGCAAAAATCACCGCAGACGCTGTACAACTGAATCGTCCCCTCTAGCAGTCGATTACATACGATAAAGTTAATAGAGGGAACCGTTAATATAGAATATCCACTGTGCAAAACTGACAAGAATTGCGTTAACAAGCCTTGTCATATCACCTAAACGTCTGCTATTTAAATACGCATTGCGGCTATAAAGCCAGATAGAAGAAGAATTATATTATGGTAATGATTTTAGATTCGATAGATTTCAATGTAAGATCCGAAATGGATGAAATAAAAGAGGTTTTTCAGTATCTTGTCTTCAAGTGAATATTTGAACAGAAAAGGAAACCAGGAAAAAGAGGCGACTAATGTCGATTTTTCTTCCAATGAATGTGATTATAAAATAACTGCTTCGATTACAAGTGGATGTGAATGGAAATTTGCCTATGCAATTGTATTACCTGGCTAGACTTATAAACGGCAATCACCTTTGGATATTTACTAAAATATTATTTTTTTGAGAAATATCTTCGGCATAAACAGGAAATGTTCTCTTGAAAAAAGTGTATATTATTCCCCAAATTTTAAATATTTTCTGAGAAACCGAACTTAACTGTATTAATTATATGGGCTCCTCCCTTTTCATATAAATGGACTTCAGTGTTCCTTTTCATAATACCAGAGAGTTAAACAGTAAGAGAGAGAGAGAGAGAGAGAGAGAGAGAGAGAGAGAGGAGAGAGAGAGAGAGAGAGAGAGAGAGAGAGAGAGAGATACGAACGGTGTGAGGTAACCTCTTGTAGAAGTCAGTTACAAGCACATAGACTCTAAGGAAGTCCTACTTCGAGACTGTATATATTCATCTGTATTTGCTACTGACCGCGTTCCTGGACTTACTAACAGTATTACTCTTTGTATGATTGTGTAAATACATTTTATTTCTTATATTTAATTATTGCGTTTGTCATTCCTTGGAGACCGAATTCATCTCAGAATCCACAACATTATGTATTATTCAATCAACTGGATATACATGGAAAATATATTGACATTAACTACCAATGTATTTAATATAGAATAGTCATGTTTTAATAAAATATTTTCAGGAAATTTCGATGGCACTGTTTTAACATATATGATTTGGAATGCATGTTGTTTCAAATGATTTAGGCTGTGCTATATTTGATAACAAAAGCATTTAAATCATTCAGTGAAATTTCCAAATGAATTATCTAAACTTCTCTGAGTAATTTCAGTTTTAAATACGAGGGGGACAGAAAAGTAACTGGAATCGTTTTCCGTGTGACAAGCCCGTACTATTTCAGGCTTCCTCCGTAAGATACCACTTGAGGCAACGCTCTGCCACCAATGTGTTAACTGGTGTCATCGTGGAAAGACGTACAGCTCCGAAGTTCACATTTGTTTTGAAGTGCCTCACGCATTTTTGTCTATTTTTACCATGGCTGAAAGGATGCCTGTCCTAAACTGAAAGAATATTTGGAATTGATCTAGACCTTTTTTCAAAGGTCATCACTGGTGCCGAAAGCGCTATGGCTATGACCCGGAAACGAAGCAGCAATCAAGTCAGTGGAATCATCCAAATTCACCACGACGCCAAAATGCGCGTCAAGTGAAGTCCAATGTCAGAAAAATGCTGATTTGTTTCTTTGATGTGAAAGAAATTTTCCTCAAAGAATTTATTCCTCCTGGTCAAACTGTTAACCAGGCTTTTTACTTGGAAGTCCTGAAGCGTTTGGGAGACAAAGTGAAACAAAAACGGCCTGACATTTGGCAAAATGGAGTTTGGTGGTTGCATCACGAGAATTCTCTAGCGCACATCGCCTTCAGTGTGAGACAGTTTCTGACCAAGAATGGCATGACTTTATTCCCCCCTCTATTCAACCGATCTCGCCCACTGAGACTTTCTTTTTGTTCCCCCGAAGGAAGAAAGTCCTCAAAGGAAAACGTTTTGCACTTGCGGAAGAGGTTAAGAAGAAAACGATGGAGCCATTAAAAAAATAACTTCACACGAGTTCCAGAACTGCTTTGTACAATGGAAAATACGTCTGTACCGGTGCATTGCTTCAAATGGAGAATGCTTTAAAGGTGTTATGAATATAAACATGCAACAATAATTGAATAAAAATATGATACAATTCGGGTTAATTTTCTGTCCCACCGAGTATGGTTAAGAAAGAATATTCGTTTTATGACAGTCTTCTTCTTCTTCTTCTTCTTCTTCTTCTTCTACTACTACTACTACTACTACTTTGTTTTCTTCTTCTAATTTATTTATTTCCTTCCTTCCTTCCTTCCTTCCTTCCTTCCTTCCTTCCTTCCTTCCTTCCTTCCTTCCACACCCAACGCCGTGCGTTCCTTTATTTAATACTAGCAGTAGAGCCCGACGTTGCCTGGGGATGTAGCAGTAAGAGATAGATCAAGCATCGACCATCATAAAGACTGAAAAGTAAAATTGAGAAAGATTATTGTTTAAGGTTGACGGACACGCATGTCTTCTTTTTTTTGACGAATTGGTCAAACCCAAACTCAAAGAAAAACATTGTTTTCAATCGTTATGAGTCTACCGATTGAATAGAATTTTATTATAAACAATTGTCTTGTAAGTGGAATTTCTAAAGCATTCTGGATGTAAAAATAAAGAAAAAAGTGTTCAAGACAATAAGAAAAACTACCTGCCAAACAAAAGTGAAGTTTTGTTGAAATCGGTTGAAAAATGTAGGAAATCCGATCCCATGTATAAACGAACACACACACCCACAAACAAACAACCTGGGTTTTATAATACGTATAACACGATATGCGTTGTTCCCCTTTCATTCAGGTGACAGAATCGTGTTTTATCGTGTTTACAAATTGATTTCGTGCAAAAACAATTGTGTTTTTCCAATTTTTGGCGTTGTCAGAACCACCGCAAGATAATTTTACGCAGTCCTGTGAAGTTTTGTTGAAATCGGTTGAGAAATGTAGGAAATCCGTTCCAATATGTAAACGCACAGACTCTCTCTCTCTCTCACACACACACACACATACAATCTACGTTTTATAATAAGTAACATATTACGCGCAGGGAGGTCAATAGTTATAAATCACCTGAGGATACCTTAAGCTGGAAACCAAGGTAGTGACATCTGTCTTTTGAGAGGCTTTCTTCCATTTATCTTCTGGTGGTTTCGATGGATTTTTGTGGGCGTCAATTTTCCATTTCGTTCTTTAGACATGAGTAGAAGGAGAGTCGTTTATCATGAGAGACATGACTGCATGATAGCTGGAGCTGGTCCAAATGTCACCAATCCATGAGACACACACTTCAGTTGATATCATCCGCTGCGGCAAACCAGGTTCTGACAGACAGGTTCATAATGCCATTTTCTATCGTGTTGCTGACTTGATCACGTACGTAAAACTTCACCTTGATCACCTACCCGCGCTAAAAAAAAAAAAAAAAAAATATTGGTCAAAAATGTTTAAAAATAGTTACTGAAAAGCTACACAAGCTTTTCAGAATAATCTGGGTTTCTGGTCATGTTCCTCAATACTTCAAGGATGGCTTAATCCAACACGTATCCATAGACAAAGTTATTAGCAATTTCTGCTGTCGATTGCTTGTAAAATATTAGGTAGACAGATACTAAAGACGATTATCAAGCACGTCATCAATGCGATTTACCCGGAATCACAATTTGGCTTCACCTCTGGTCGTGACACTATTGACATGGTTTCTCACTTCGTCATTTAGCCGAATATTCCATGAAAACAACCTAGAGTCTTAGACAGTGCAAATCGTGAAGGACTCGGGTAAGTGTTTAAAAAGCTTTGAATCACAGACAAATCGTCGAATGTTCTAATCTCCTTTCACGAGGAAATGAAAGCTGTTGTATTTGATGAGGATTTTTCTGATTCGTTTAATATTACAAATGTCACGTAAGAAGATTGTGTCTTAGGCCCAGTTCTATTTACACTCTTCTTTAAAGTAATGCTGAAATATACCTTTGTTGAAATTGAAATTGGATTTAAAATACATTTTTTCCAAACTATGAAAGCCTTTTAAACCATTAGCGGTTCGAAGCTAAAACAATTATTGGAACTCAGGTGAGACCTGTTCTACTGTTTGCTGATGATACTACACTCGTAAAACATACCTAAAGGAAGCGCAATAGCTCATCAAACGTTTATCAGTTGCATGCAAATCTTTTGGCCTTTCCATTAGCATAAAGAAAAAAGAGATAATCCACAAGCCGGCGCTTTGCCCAATTCAGTGTGTCAGGCAACTTCCACCAGTTCATCAATTCCCCCACACTCCTTTAGAGATTGTGGGGAAGAACTTGAAGTCTGTGAAGTCTTTTACATATTGAAGAAGTAAAATGAATGCAAATGCAATGACGAAATAACAAATCTGATCGGCAATGCTACAACTTACAATCTTCGCCATAGCGTAACGAAATCTGGTTTCAATGAAACTTTTTCAAATTGTCTCAATATATATATATATATATATATATATATATATATATATATATATATTATAAATTAATTGATTTAAAATATGTTTTTTCGCTATACAGTTCTAACCATGTTTCAAAAATGGAAGCTAAAAGCCACGAATTTAATTTTGCAATTAAATTAAGACATTAGTTCCATTTCATCCTCAAGCGAAAATTCGCCTCCCATAAGCTCAATAGAGTTTCGAATATCCTGCAGAGAGCGGTTTACTGCCTCGAGTGCAGTTTTGGGTCTGAGAGTGCACTCATTCCAGATGATGAGCTTAGATTGCCTGAGTATCTCCACTAGACCTGACTGCTAGGCTATACTGCATACAGCTGTTTCTGCCTTAAACAGGTCAAGCGGAAGTTTAAACGTTGAGTGCACTGTTCGGCCACCCGGTAGTAATGTGGCATCAACGCCTGAAGACACTACTGCTAGCGCCACTTCGCCATGGCGCCGAATTTCTGCAAGAAGCAGTTTTATTACGAACGTTTTTCCCTTTCCTCCAGGCGTGTCCAGGAAGAAAATTGATCCTGTATCCTGTCTGATGGATGCAAGAACCGCATCGTAAGCGGCCCTTTGATCTATGAGAAGTTTTGGTTCATTTGTTCTGACATAGGCGTCGAGCTCCTAAACAGAGTAGGGTGTCTCACGCACAATCTCAGGTGAGAGACGGGAGGAAGCCACAGGGATCTGACGTTGGAAGCTCAATGCCGCAAGAAATCCCCCCCCATTTCAACAAACAGGTTCTCAATGATTATAAGCGCCTTGTTGTAAATTTCATCGTTGAATGTAAGAGACATTGTTGGACACACCAATTGCGCTTCTCTGAGTTTGTCTTCGGACAGAATGTCCTTGTATTTGTCACAAAGTGATTTGGGATCACTGGTTTCGCACATTTGTAAGATTGTGGTGAAGAGGTGGCGCAAAGCAGAGGGCATTTTTAAAAGAGCTCCCTAAGCCATTGTGACTGTCGTCTTCCAAAACGCTGAGAAAGAGGCAGGCCTCACGAAAAGTGTCATATAAGACTCCATTAACCGTCCGTAAGTTATTGTAGCTCGTTGAGCCACTAACTTCGTGTGTAAAAAACATTCCTGTCGCGATGGGGGAACCATGAATACCCTTCCGAGTGTGGCGTCTTTTTTGACGCCTGGATAGCCCTCGACGTTGTCCCCGCACTTCCGCCGAGCCCAGTCACGTCTGGGTACAGTAGAGTCCTAGCAAACTCGTCCTGTCGACAAAGTTTGAATAACGCTGTAAGCATTGTGTCTTTGGTACGCGCAGCCACATCCATTGCTATATCTGCAGAAAAATAACGATGTTCGTTGTTTTCTAGGTGCACAGGATGGGGAAGCTGTATATGTGTCAAGGGCCCTCTGTGCTGTTAATGACGCGCCCTGCAAGGAAGTCCGGGATTTCACCTACGGAACCTTCCTACCTAATACCAAACATTGCAGCATCAGTCCGTTTGTTGATATACTTGCATATATACTTGATGGAGCAAACTGAATGGCAATATTCGACATTGATGTGTGCATTGAACGCTTTTGTTAGCAGGGGACAGTATGGCACTAGCAATCTGTTATCCACTTTGTGGCCATTTACCACGGCTGTAAATCCTTCCTCAGCGGGACTCTTTCGCTGGTACAGTGGATAACCATCGCTCCCTGCAATGGTTTCGCAGTGCATTGTAGGACCGGTGCGTTTCACTGATTCTTCGGAGCCCACTGCCGCGCCCTTCGATAAGAATGTCACGTCTGTTGTGTTGAACACCGCTGACAATAACGGAAACTTCGTTACTTGCGGGAGCACTGTAACGACGTTGGTGCTCTCCCTGAGGCCGTTTTTCAGCATGAATTACAATAATGAAATCAGAAGAAGTGTTATTTTCGAGAGCATACTTAAAACTGCGGACATAGTTGTTTGTCTCGTAGAGCATTTGTTGGAGACTCATTATGATATCCCTGCGAGGATGATTGTCCTGGCCTGTATCTTTTTTCGGGAATAATGCCCAGGTGGGCATCTGCCTGTTGATTGTAGTCAGCTATAAATTATATTTTTAGAAAGACCAAATCAGTGGCAGTTTCCGTCAAAAGAGACGCAATCTGGTGGGCTTCCAACCGACTTCGCGGAAGTAATTACCACCAAAAGTGGTTATCTGGAAGGAACAATTGTACTGTCTTATTTTTTCGAGGAAATGTTTGGAGTCTGGGCTGGAACCTTCCAACAGAGCTTTCAACGGAGCAGATAGCTCTTGAAAAGGTGGCAACTGTACCTTACCGTCTGAAAAACACAAATGAGCAGGCTCTCTAGGCCACTTTTTGGCATTGCAATGCCCACAGACAACTGACTTGGATCCTATTTGGAGTTCTTTGTGACCGGAAAGCCCCCAAACTGCCTCATAGTTGAACACCAGCTTAATCCAAAACTACTTTGGTGGGCTACAGTCCTCGCTGTGCATGGCGGCGCTGGTTAACAATCTGCAACTTTCAAGCCTTTCAGTACGTCCTTGTACAGCTCTAGCAGCGGAAGTTGGAATTGCATCGCGTTGCCGCCTTGTGCGCTTTTGCGTGGAACATACCGACGCCCTTGCAGATGAAGTTGCAGCGGCGTCGGCTGCATGGCGTGCGGTTTTCTCAGACATGGATTCCTGGGAGGGTCGAATGGGCGTTGCCGCAGCTTTCGCTGCGTTAGGTGCGGTTTTCTCAGCCGTGTTCTCCTGGGACCGTCGAATAGAAGTTGCAGCAGCGCTGGCTGCATTGCGAGTAGCTTTTCGATGCGGGCTCTGTCGAGACTGCAAAAGCTCATATGATGAAGCCGCTTTTTTGTTGTCTTGCAAGCGTTTAGGTAGTTTCCTATTACTTTTAAACGAATATGTGTAAACTGATTTGCAGTACAATCGGTGGATACGCTCACCAAGCGTTTTATGTGACAAACATACAGCCTCCGTTGAGATTGACTGGAAAGCCTCAAAGCAGCCTCTACCTCGGTTCCCTACTCCCGCTTTCTCTTTGCCACAGATCCTCTTTTTGAACGCCTGCTAATGTTGCCTCGCCTGGGTGTTTTTGGATCCTTTGCAGAGCTGCCGGGTTGGTCATCGCCAAGGCACGCAGAAAAGTGCAAAGCAGAGGTTGAAGTAGATGCTATATAATCATCTGTAACCGGCAGTCTCCTGTTCTGCAATATGTAACGTTAACGGTATCAGGGGTTTTCAGTTGCTGACGTACGGATGTTCGTCGTGTATGAGCCATTTGAAGAGTTGTAGAAATGCTGTGTAAGAATTCGAATAGAAGGTGAAGCGGTGCAACCTCGTTGTATGCGAAAACTAAAAATGCACTCTAGCGGTATGGAAAAGCTTCTCCTAGCTATGGGCCGTGCTTTCTGGCCGCACGAAAACGACGCTGTAGGAAGAGGTTACGCAACCAAAACGTTGAAGCGTTGAAGGTTTAAAAGTAGTGAAACACTGAGGTGTACTGGGCCGCGTAGTAAAGGCAGAAGAGAAGTAACTTGCGTCAGCAGTTAAGTGTCTAATAGAAAAACTGAACTACGAAAAGGTTAAAATAGGTATGGAACGCTAAGATGGACTGGGCTGCGCAGTAGAGGCAGCACGGAGATAAAATGGGTAATACAAACGTTTAAGCAAATAGGTAACTTGCGTTAGCAGCAAGCTCTCAATTAATCCAAGGATAGATGCGTTAATAGCGATCAAATCAAGACATGAGTGCGGCTGCAGCCGCGCTGAAGGTATTTAAAGAGAGCGTGACTTGTTATTGATTGGTGTAGCCTGGACAATGGCCATGACTTAGACCAATGAATGAAGTGTTTCCTCGTTTGGTTTGTGCGCAACAAAAATCCGCTAACCGTTTGCCGGCATTAGCTTTGAAATTGATTGGGAGGAAGCCCTGCTGTTTTATCGCAAAACTCCTCGTCAGGTCTGGATGCGGCCTGGGCTATGGGAAAATATTTAAAGAATTGGAAAATTGACTGCTGATGGTTGAACCATTTTCACTCAGCACGTGTGCGGGTTTTTTTTTCAGTAAAGACGCGAATAAAGGAAGTGCTTATTTGGTAAGATGCGACGATTAAAGCAAAAATGTTGACAAAGTCGAATATGTCATTTGGGACTCAAAGTAAGATCTGGTAGCAGGGATAAAAAAGCCGAATTTCAATAGCCCTGCACCCATTCCAGAATTTGAGGTCAAATGTTTTCTTCCACTCTAGTGCACGCACTGACCTGTTTCTTCCCGCGCATAGCGAGACCTTAAATTAATCTGCATTTAGGAGATACTCAACCGGAAAAACATTTTTACGGGTTGACCGATTGTCGATTTGCACTCTGTTTTTGGGGCGCTCAGTTTTGAAACTTCACATGGTGACTCCCAATGGCGTTCTCATAAATTCGGTCGGTTTTCGCTAAAAACCGATACGCGGTTCAGGCGCAATATGTGGGCGTATCGGTTTTTGAGTTTTATCGATTTTCCGCGCTGTTTAGGGGTCCGTGGTCATGAAACTTCTGGACAACACTTCTAATGGTAGACTCTAAGAGGGTCTCAAATTTGGTTGAAATGCGACCATTCCTTCTGCAAGCACATTTTTTCGATTATAGATTTTTTCGGAACCTGAGTCCGAACTCAAAAATCGGGCTCCGTCATATCCTTACGGCAGCCATTTGCAAAGTTGTTGTGAAAAACGCATCGAAATCGGGTGAGAAATGCATCCTGGGCGTGGTAACAACGCCCACGACAGACACACAGACAGACAACATGAGAAAGATAGATAGATAGATAGATAGATAGATAGATAGATAGATAGATTACAAAGGCTCTATTACAATGGGCATTGTGAAAGTGACAACGATTATTTGTTGATATCACACGCACACACACATACACACACACACACACACATATATATATATATATATATATATATATATATATATATATATATATATATATCCTGCATCCAATATTAGAATCCCATTAGATATTGTGTTTATGATCAAAAGATGAATATGACTCAAAGGTTCCACATTACAGCTCTTATTTCCGGTTATTTGCATCTAGATGTGTTAAACAGCTAAGGACACACCTCCTTTGTATCAGATCAATACTGTTTTACGTGAGCAAATGTAAAGGAACAAATTTTCTTAAAGTAAATAACATGTAATATTTTGTTGCATAACCCTTGCTTGCAATACCTTCATTAATTTTGCTATCAACTAATTGTTGTATTCTTCATTGTTGATGCTCATCCAGACTTTTAAGGCAGCCTCTTACAGTTTTGGTTTCTTTCGGGGAGTCCCTTCCTTCCATCTTTTTTTAGAGGAGATGAAATGCATGCTGTATTGATTTAATCTCTGCTGATTGACATGATCACTCCAAAACTGTCCACTTTTTACACCATTGAAATAATAAACAGATTTTGATTGAAATGATCAATCGTCTAAGCTTTAGTCACTATCCAATCGCCATAAAGTTGCCTACTTTGACATTTCTATACATAATTTTTGGATGAGCACTTGGCTAGGGTATCGAGACTTCATGAGTTTAAACGCAACTCTACACAGTTGATGTCTCATTAATTTACAGTTGAGTATGTGACCATAATTATTATGCAGTTATATGACTCTTAAATGCAATGCCAGTCCCTATCGAATATCATCCTGGTTACATTTCTTCTTTCTCGCTTCTGAGTAATGTATCTTCTAAATCTTCCACAGTGAGTAACCCCTTGTGTCTTAATGAATTTACAGTCCTGATTGGGTTGAGCTCAATTTAAATACATGTGTGTGTAGGTGAAATAATGGTTAACATCTCACATAGCGAATCGTAGAGAATACCCTTTGGAAAATTATAGATCATTCTCTTCACCCCCTCAAGTTATTTGTGAATTCTTTCACTCACTAGTAGTTCAATATGGCCTGAGGGGTCATATTTATGGTATTGAAAAAAATGTAACGTATATATATTTATATATTTTAACATGCCGTAATATCCTAAAATAAATGAATAAATACTATTTAGCTTTACTCTGTATTGATCCCACTTTGGAATTAAACTGAATTTATTCTCATTTTATCTCTCTATCTCTCTCTCTCTCTCTCTCTATATATATATATATATATATATATATATATATATATATATATTTATATTTATTTATTTATTTATTTGTTTATATGTGTGTGTGTACGTACGCGCGTTTTTGTGTCCGCGTGTGTTTGGGTGTGTGTGTACTCGCGTGCCCGCGCGCGTGTGTTTGTCAATAAAAACTTTAAATATACTCACCCATTTTCGGCGATTAGCACATTAATGGCTTTTATAATCTGGCCGTAAATGAAGAACAATGACTGAAAGGGTTTTAATGTTCTTATTAGATTTTGTCAATGTAACGTATATCTTTAAACGACCATTTTCACAATGGAGAATAAGTAATTTTGAGGCATAATTTCTGTTGAGAATAAACATATGTTTATCTATATACTCTCCTTTTGAATTATTTTACATTTCTATGAGAAAACTGAAACCATCAACATCAAAGACCGCATCATCGCTCTAAGCATATTAAATAGCGAAATTCGAATCATGATAATTTTATCTAATCATTTCCCTTCAATCAAGGCAAGCCTCAAAAATTAGTGTGGGTGGATTTATAAAAGAAAACACTAGTAAGGAGTGGAAGTTATAAAATTACAGCAATTACGATGATATTGTCGCCAATCTAGTACGTGTATGATAAGATCTAGATACCTTAGATGAAAGTTTCACAGAATTCATTCAAACGAACGTTGAAATATATTACTTACTAACAGTAGAGCCCGGCGTTGTCCGGGGATGTAACAGTAAGAGATAGATCAAGTATCGACCATCATAAAGACTGAAAAATATAATTGACGAAGATTATTGTTTAAGGTTGACGGACACGCATGTCTTAATTAGTTTTTTTTTTTTTTTGACGAATTGGTCAAACCCAAACTCAAACAAAAACATTGTTTTCAATCGTTATGGATCTACCGATTGAATAGAATTTTATTATAAATAATTGTCTTTAAATGAAATTTTTAAAGCATTCTGTATTTAAAAATAAAGAAAAAAAGTGTTCAAGACAATAAGAAACACTACCTGCCAAAAAAAATGAAGTTTTGTTGAAATCGGTTAAAAAATGTAGGAAATCTGATCCCATATATAAACAAACACACACACACACAGACAAACAACCTGGGTTTTATAATAAGTATAACACGATATGAGTTGTCCCCCTTTCATTCTCGTGATGCCTCTTAATCTTGTTTTCAAATTGATTTCATGCAAAAACAATTGCGTTTTTTTCCAATTTTTGGCGCTGTCAGAACCACCGCAAGGTAATTTTATGTACTACTGTGAAGCTTTGTTGAAATCGGTTGAAAAATGTAGGAAATCCAATACAATATAGAAACGTACACACACACACACACACACGCACACAATATGCTTTTTATAATAAGTAAAATTAATAAAATATAATCTGACTTAATACATATATTCAGACTGTTGTTCAAACAGTTTATCTAATGAGCGAAAATGTGTGAAGATTCATCATTTCGATAAGCAAAATAAAATAAAATAAAATAAGAAAACTAGATGAAATAAATGCTCCATGATAAACAAAATATGGTCAATTTAAAGATGCTAAAATATATACCATGGAACGTTGAAATGGTAAGTACAGCTCTCTTCCAGTGGTCGTAATTCAATTCCTGGACCAACAAGCTGAAGAATATTCTTATTTGGAAGAAACGAATCATAAACTACATTACAGCTATAGTATATCAGAATAAACAATAGACAAGCTAACATTTAAAACGACCGGAAACATAGTTCCGATAACATCTATTACAATCAACAAGAAAATAATAGTGTAAATCCTCAAAATACATTGCCAATTCCTTATTTTTAAAAGCAAACAGGAAATTACTCATCCTAAAAACAATGATAAATGAAAGAGGTTTATCAAGAAGGGGAGTATTAACACATACATTTCTATTTGAAAAGGCAAATTCCAGAGTCAAAGATGGTAGACGACTTTCAGAAAAGAGAGACTTGCAATCGTCGTTGTTTCAAAACTCGCCTGCAGGCGGACTCTCTATCTGCCTGGTAATTACCACGTAAATTTGTTTCCCATTTTCTTACTGAAGATTTAAACGACGATCTATATACTTTAATCAGAACCCATTAGCAGCCGATGGTAAGGTGCACAGACCAGAATCTGGTTCACCAAGGGCTAAATTCTGTTTTCGCAAGAATCACTGGCATCATTAGCTCGGATTTGATTGGTGTACCGATTGTATTTTTCTATAGATAAAGAGGCTGATGCTGAACCGAAATTTAGAAACTGCGTGTCCATTTGTTATTTATAGCCGTTGGCTCTGATGTCTGAGTTCAATCGTGACTCATTGAATACACTGTAGAATAAATGATCGAATCTACAGTAAACTCTGCTGCCAGAAAATCGAAATCAGATAATCAATAATATTTCTTTTTCTTTCGGTTACAAGTGTAGATATTCTATTAGAAATTATTTCCTTTGCAATGCTCTGAGGTGAAGAATGTAAACATTCTGCTGTAGATTTTACTTATATTGCTGTATTTATGAATTCATTTAGACTTTTGCAGTAATAGTGATTGATCAAATGAAAATAAATACAAAATCTAAAGAATTTAAGTATTAAATAATGCTGCGATACCTCCCCCAAAGACGAAACAGAATACATTTCCAAAAAGGAAGAAAATGATATTGATTGAAAATAATAGATATTACATTCTTCATGTTTTTTATCAATAATGAATTATATATATGAAATAAATCACGGAAACATAAGTGTTATTTAATATCCCTCACTTTCTTTCTCTGTATATATATATATATATATATATATATATATATATATATATATATATATATATATATATATATATATATATGCAGCAGTTTTTTTATTAATGCATGTTTCATTAAATAATATGGGTGAGATTTGTCTATTTATTTTAGGTAAGTTCCTTTCATATTGTCTGATGTTTAGTCACATTGTGGTTGAAATACGAAAGGAAAACGCCATATTGATACATGTTTAAATCCAATCTAAGCTTTCAGCTTACACAAGCCATTATCAAAAATGATAATTTCAATAAATCAAACAACAACGGATGAAACAACAATGATAGTTCGCATCTTGCTGCATGAATATTTTCAAATAACGACAAACTCGTATATACGAGACGCGGAAGCAAAAATCGCGTCGCAGATGGTGACGACACGCATGACCACGCGAGAGTGAAAAACGAGAAGTATTACGTATGGGAAGCAGTTGGTATAAACCAATAGCTTCTGTTATAAATTATAGGAATTTATTTGTGGAGATTTCATAGTTTATTTTGTTCAAGTTAGGTTTCAACTGTTTTATGTATAAAGCGTCAAGAATTTTTTTGTTTATTGTTTTTATGTTTGAGTATAGTTGTGTTGTCAAAAAGGATTTTCCGGAATCGAGTACGCGAGCACTACCACAAACTCGCTTTCATGGCGCTTGAATCTACATTTAAATGATGACTCTAACATTTTTAGACATTTAAAACAAAATGCCTGTCGCGTACTCAATTCCGCAAAAACATATATATATATATATATATATATATATATATATATATATATATATATATATATATATATATATATATATATATATATATATATATATAATTTTTAATTTTGCTACACGAGTTTCTAGTCTCGTGACCCTCTTCAGTAAAAAGTGGATGTTTCCTCATATTATTAAAAGGAAGTTATTT